ACACACACACACACAAATGCAGCCTGTGATGTGCCACACCTAGGGCCTGGTCAGAATTCTTGTTTTCCTTCAGCGCCCGTGCCCTGATGGGCAGAGGAGGTGCCTAGGGAAGAAGTGGGGATGCTGGCATGGTTTGGGGGAGCCCTGGTGAGGGCAGAGGACATTTTGCGGGGGTGGAGACGCACTGGCCTTTCCGGACAGCTGGGGACCATGGCGCTGCAGTGTCACAAGCGCATCCTCTGGGAGCTCTGTGGGTGGCTGCAGGGCTGGCTAGTGGCGGTCAGGCCAGGTCTGCATCTCAGTGTGACCTTGCGTCACCTTCCCAGAACAAGAACGTGGTGGTGGCCGACTTCGGGCTGGCGCGACTCATGGTGGATGACAAGACACAGCCCGAGGACCTTCGGAGCCTCAAGAAGCCAGACCGCAAGAAGCGGTACACGGTGGTGGGGAACCCCTACTGGATGGCGCCCGAGATGATCAACGGTGCGTGGTACAGGAGGGCCCGGGGTCAGGACAGCTACGCCGGCAGTGCCCTGGGCCGCTGGCCCTGTGACTTCAAGTCCCGTGTTCGTTTCCCATCTTGGCTATAGGACATTTCCACACACTTGGTGGCTCTGATAAGAAGTGACCAGAGGTTCTGGAGGTCACGGGCTCAGCTGCAGTCTCCCTGGGCTGAACGCAGACCTCAGGGCTGGGCCTTCCCCCACTTCCGGCCCTTTCCGACTCCTGCAGCCTTGTTCCTGGGCTCCAGCCCCGCCGGGTCCCCAGGGCCAGCAGCTCCACCTCTTCCTGTTCCATCTCCGCTGCTGAGCCCCACCTCCCTCTGAGCAGAAACCTTGCCTGACATGGGCCCACCTGGGTAACCCAGCATCTTCTCCTACAGCCCCTATCCTAGAGCAGGGCCGGAGCTCAGGCTTAGCACTCTTCTAGCACGCACAGGGCCCTGAGGTCCATGCCCCACACCGCGCATGCGCACACACACAGCCTTAGCTTACCTGTAAAGTCCCACATCCACAGGTCCCAGAATTAGGACATGGGCATCTTTTGAGGCCACACGTCCTCTTCCTGCTCCATTTCTCTGCCATCAGGAGTCACTCTGTCTGGTCCACAGCTTATAAGGTCCTTCCACAAATAGCTGACATCCAGGCATAGGTTCCAGGCAGACCCGTGAACACAGTTGATGTCACTCCCAGGTAACACACCCTGTGATGGAGCCTGAACAGCCCTTGTCGGTATGTGGTGTGACAATTAATAAGACGCATTTAAAGAACAACAGTCCGGACATGGTGGCGCACGCATATAATCCTAGCACTAAGGAGGATGAGGGAGGAGGATCACTGTGAGTTCCCGGCAAGCCTGGGCTACGTAGTTCAAGACCAGCCTGGCCTACGTAGTGAGACCCTGTCTCAAAAAGAAATTGAAAAAAGGGAAAAGAAAGAGTAGAGATGTAGCTCAGTGCAAAGGCCCTGCTTTCAAACCCCGGTATCTAAAGAAAAGGAGGGGGCTGAGGATTTAGCTCAGTGGCACAGCGCCTGCCTGGCAAGTGCGAGGTTGTAAGTTCGATTCCCGGTACTGGAAAAAAAAGAAAAAGAAAAAGAGCAGCTGATGATTGTAATGTCGCTGGAGAGATGGTAGCTGTTTTACAGGCAAGGAAACAGGCTTAGGAAGCCTGGACTACTGTCTCGAGGCAACTCTCTTTTTTTTGTCTTTTTGAGACAGAGTCTCACTCTGCTGTTCAAGCAGGCCTTGAGCCCACTTTATAGTCCAGGCTGGTCTCGAACTCGCAACAATCCTCCTGCCTCAGCCTCCCGTGCTAGGACTACAGGCATGCACAACCATGCCCTGCTTGAGGCAATTCTTAACAAATTATTACAAAGGGGTTGGGGATATAGCTCAGTGGCATAAGTGCCTGCCCGGCAAACGCAAGGTCCTGACTTCGATTCCCATTACAAAAAAAAAAAAATTACTACAAACTCGGTAGCATCCAACAATGGAAATGTAGTCCTTGGAGAGGCTGGGCGCAGAATCTGCAGGACCCACCGTCCCTGCGCGGGCCGTGGCCCATACTCCTGCATTTCCGGCCTCCTGGCTGCTCCTCTCCAGCCTCTGCCTTTGTGCTTCCGTGGCTGCTGCCTCTTTTGCAGTCCCCACTACCCGTCCCTCTTTAAGGACACTCTTGACGGTACTCAGGGCCATCCGGGGAACCCAGGCTCCTTCTGTGCCAGCTATTAACATCACTGTGCCTGCTAAGACTTTTTGGCGGTGCTGGGGGTGGGACCGGCAGGTTCTTTCCTGCTGAGTTGCACCTCAGTCCTGAGTGTGACGGCCCTTACGGGTCCCGGGGCTGGATGGCCTCACCTGCCAGGACTCAAGAGCCTGTGCTGCCAGGGCTCACACACGGGGCTGTGGCCGAGCAGCGCCTGGCATCCTCTCCAGAGCGCTCTCCTCCCCGCTGAGCTGCTGGCAAGAGGCAGAGCCTGAGGCCTGGGCCCTGGAGGCTCTCCGCTGCGTCCTAGCCCCACCCCGGCCCGTCCCCCTCTGACAGGCAGTCTCTCTGCCCAGGCCGCAGCTATGATGAGAAGGTGGATGTGTTCTCCTTCGGCATCGTCCTGTGCGAGGTAGGTCCAGGGGTGGACAGTGGTGGCAGCAGGGCCTGGCAGTTCCCATGCACGTCTCTCCTCCGATGGCCAGACCGAGGCATGCCTGGCCCCGGCACTGTGATCTGGGTGGGGCGCGGGGCCCCCAGATTAACTGTCAGGCCTGTGCCGTACAGATCATCGGGCGCGTGAACGCAGACCCCGACTACCTGCCCCGCACCATGGACTTTGGCCTTAACGTGAGAGGCTTCCTGGACCGCTACTGCCCCCCCAACTGTCCCCCGAGCTTCTTCCCTATCACTGTGCGCTGCTGCGACCTGGACCCTGAGAAGAGGTGAGCGGGTTGGGGGCTGGGCCTGCGGTGGCTGGGGGTGGGGCGGTGGCTGTCCCAGGAGAGCCAACCCCAGTGGCCACCCGCCTGTCCCCAGGCCATCCTTCGTGAAGCTGGAACAGTGGCTGGAGACCCTGCGCATGCACTTGGCCGGCCACTTGCCTCTGGGTTCGCAGCTGGAACAGCTGGACAGGGCCTTCTGGGAGACCTACCGGCGGGGGGAGAGCGGACTCCCTGCCCACCCCGAGGTCCCCGACTGAGACCCCTCCATAGCTGCCCGTCCCCACCCTGGAGGATACGCCCTCGGCAGCTTCCCTCAAAGGTGGTGGCCAGGCCCTAATTGCCTTCTCCCTGGACCGTGCCCCCGACCCTCTGCCTTGGCCCCCAGAGCTGCGCGTTCTGTCACGTCGCCCTGCCCTACCTCCGTCTCGGAGGGGCTGCCACACTCTCCCGCATGAGCTGCAGGCCCGGTGAGCTGTGCCCATCCCACAAACCGCCCCACCACCCCTTGGCCTGCACCTGTCTACACCGGCTCTGTGCGTTCGACCGGAAGCAGACTCTGGAATGGCCCTGAAGGGGCTGGGCGTGGAGCTGTGTGCGTGCACGGAAGGGGGCAGCCTTCCCAGGAGTCACGACCCCCGGGGTGTCTGGGGAGCAGCAGGGCAGGATGGATGCGACCCAACCCCAAAGCAGGCAGGGTCTGGCCCTGCATGCCGGCTGGCGATGTGGCAGGCCTATGTCCTGCCCGGGTCTCTTTTGTTTCTTTATCAAAGCCACTTTAGTGAGAAGCAGGTACAGGCCTCAGGGTGAAGAGGGTCCCTTCAGGCAGAGGGGGTCCCGGCAGATAGAGGAGCCAGCCCAGGTGGGGCGGGCAAGGCCAGCGTCCACCAGCAGCCCGGCTCTGCGTTCATCTCAGCGCCCCAGGCCCTCCCGTCCTCGAGCCCCTCTGTCCTCTGGGTTCTTTCTGTGTAATCTATTTTTTAAGAAGAGTTTGTATTATTTTTTCATACAGCCGCAGCAGCTGCTGCTGGGGGCTTGGGGTTTTATTTTTTGTGGCGGGTGGGGGCGGGAGGGCCATCTTGTCACTTTGCCTCAGTTGAGCATCTAGGAAGTATTAAAACTGTGACGCTTTCTCAGTGCACTTTGAACCTGGAAAATAAGCCGAACGGGTCCACGGGACCACGGTGGAGGGATGCAGTTTGTGGTCACCTCCACCCAGAACCCGGATGGCTATAGAACAGATCAAGACTCTGAACAATAAAATTCTGTGCTCCCCAAACAGGACCTGCGTTGCAGTGTGTCCAGGGCCCCAGGGAAAGGGTCCAGTTGACAGGAACTAGAAGCACAAGCATGGTGAGACGAGAACAACAGAGTGGTGTGCCGTGATCCCAGCAATCCAGAAGGCTGAGGCAGTGGGACCCCTTTTTTTTTTTTTTTGGTGTTTTTGAGACAAGGTGTCACTATGCTATTCAGGCTGGCCTTGAGCTCACTTTGTAACCCAGGCTGGTCTCAAACTTGGAATGATCCTCCTGCCTCAGCCTCCCAAGTGCTGGGATGACAGGTGTGCACCACGATGCCCAGCCTGGACAACAATTTAGACCCAGTCTCAAAATGTAAAAAGGAGACAGGCATGGTTGTATACCTGTAATCCCAGCACTCAGGAGGCTGAGGCAGGAGGATTTTGGCCAGCCTGGAATAGATAGTAAGACCCTGTCTCAAAAAATGAGAAATAAAAAGGGTTAGGGATATAGCTCAGTGGAAAGGGCCTGGGTTCAACCCTTAGTACCAAAAAATAAAACTAAGTTTAAAAAGACAAAGACTTTTTAAAAGCTAGATTAGGGTGGGTACATACTCAGGAAGTTATTTCTCCCATAATTACTCTTTCTGAAATGAAAGATGCCCATCAAGAAGACAGCCACACACCTGGGTGTGGTAGCACACACCTGTAATCCCAGCACTCTGGAAGATCACAGGTTCCAGGCCAGTCTGGGCAATTTAACAACTTAATGAAATCCTGTCTCAAAAAATATGCATGGAATGTAGCTCAGTATGAATATCCTAGGTTCAGTTCCCCCCACAAAAGAAAACCCCCAGCACACACACTAGGTATTTCAAATATAAA